TTGCCATCCGCTGTGAAAACGAGAGAGGCGACCACCAAGAGGAATGTTGGCATCATTTATTGTTGTTGTTTGAGTTGGAGGAATTTGAAGAGGTTCCACTTGCTTGGTGAGCATTATTGAATCTTCTGAAGCCTTGATTGTTGGATTGATAACCATTACCTTGTCCTTGGTTGAAGTTGTTGTTGTTGTGCTTGTTGTTGTTGTAGTTGTAGCCAGCTTGTCTATTATCGTATCTAGTGGGGAACTTACGAAAATTAGGGGTTCTGCTGGCCCATTTGCTGACTTTTTCAATAGTTTCTGCTGTTTTTACTTTTTCAGCAGATTTAATCGCCTTCTCTTGTTGTTTGGCCTCCAAACTAGATTTAACTCAGAAATATTCTGAATAAATTCAAATCCTTGAAGAATAAGCGGTAAATCAAGGTTATCACTCTCTCTCAAACGCTTGCAGATTTGAGAGATGATAAAAGAATTTGTTAAAAGTAAAGAATAACCTTTACTTTTAATATCTTTTATACTAGATGAATCTGGAATGGAGTGTCTATTCAAGAGCAGCCATTCTATTCTTGAATTCCAAGTTGTCAGCGCTCTCTTCTATTCGAAACAGCTTCTTCCAACTGCAAATCTTCTTTCAATGATACACCAAACATTCTTTGGTAAGAGTTGATGACGTGGTTTTAAACCAATCATCTGGTTCATCAGCAACTCTTGCTCTTTTACCAGAAACCTCTTCAGATGGGTTGGACTCAAACAATTCCATCGAAGAAGCGAGCAGAAGCACCTTGTGAACCAACCTTGGCGTTGTTTGAGTCTTTGCCAGGTGATATCTTTTGCTGATTGTACCTGAAGAAGGTAGTTAAGGTCTTGTTGAAAAATACTCAACTTATATTTTATTAAGTTTACAATGAAAACAAGTCCATTCTTCACTTCGCTCAGAATTAGACAATCAAAAACAAATTCATTCATAGACTTCATAATCAGTACATTCCAATGAGCTTTGATTGTTGTAATTGATTTTTTGTAAACTTATATTGTTTTCATTGATGATAATTGTATTAAGTTTACCTTTACTAATTAGCTTAACAAAAGTTCCTTTAATTTCCAAATAAATTTGTCCTTGGTATTTGTCGATAATATATTTTACACGATATGCATTTCCTGTTTCTCTATATTCTGGAATGGTAACACGTAAACGTCTAGTACGAATCAAATTTTGGTTTACAAAGGAAAACTGGTATATTCCAATTTCAAGTATTTTTTCGGAAGATCTATTGATGAATCTAAAATCACTGCAACTCTCGAAATTTGATTTGTTAATGAAAGACATTGGCATTTGTTGAGCGGTTTGTTGAAGTATAATATGTGAGACGTTTTGAACTTGATTTTCATATGGGTGAATAATTTCATGTGGTTGTGATTGAGAGGTTGAGTTAATGTTTTGAAACTCAGTAACTTTCTTCTTGAGAGAGGATAGTTGAGAGTGGTGAGAATATCGAGGGACTTGAGGCAGTGTTATTGGATGTAACTTTGTGAGTATTATCGGTGATATCTTCATAACGAAGGAAACAATCATCGTCATCATTAATTTCATGAGTGTCAGCTTGTTGGTATTTCATATCTTGATTCAACATTTTCAGTATTTCTTTTTTAATTTTTGTGGGTGTTCATACAAGGTGCAACTGAGTTTTTATACTCACATTCTCTTATTTTAGATTTTCATTACAACTCACAATTATTTTTAATTTTAGTAATGGATGATTGTTAGGTACTTGGCCACGCTCACGTTTATTTTTAATTTTCAAGCATAATCAAAGTCCTTGGACAAGAATCGAACACGTGGTTTCTTCCTTGACAATCTACAGTGTAGTAGGCAAAAAAAAATGCCTCCATTTGCTTCTCACTACAACCTGCTTCATTCAATAAATCATTTATAAAATTATGAGTACATACAATATGAAATAAATCATCAACTTGTTTAAATGTGAAATACATTTTAATTCTTTAATTATTAATACTTCAATGTTCTATCCATTTTCTACATCTTTTCCGATGTTGTTACATCATCAGATTCATACTTTTGTTTCATTATAATGAGAAAGTAAAAAATAAATTTCAGTACAATAAAAAGAAATGTAATTAGCATGTATCTAATTTCTCGCCAATAAAAACATGAGGTGGAATACTATCATCAACTGGGAGATTTAACTTCTACATAACAGTGTTCACAGAGTTTACAATACTAATAATTAAAAATCATTTCTTTCGTTATCTTTCAATCAATTTCAATCCCAATCAAAATCTTGATCAATTTCACAATAGTCAACCACAAAAAAATGCGCAAACTAAACTGTACTTTATCTATTGCTTCCCATCGGGAGATTATTTCACCACTAATGCTCAACAGAAGCATGAGCATGATGAAGAGAGTTAATAATTTTTCCTCCACGATTCATCCAATCCGAAGCTTTTCCTCGAGTGTGAAAAATTTCACAAACACTGCCGGAAGATATTGTAAATTAATTATGGTCTCCTCCAAGAATAATAACAAGTATTATGAAATGACTGAAAAGGATGGTGAAATTCATATTGTCTATGGTCGAGTTGGTGCCACAGGAATTGCAATCAAAGCCAGTTTGAGTGAATGGGATAGTTTAGTTCGATCCAAGATGAAGAAAGGCTATGTAGATATGACAAATTTGGGATCTGATATGACCAATGCAGGGGATGATATTTATTTAGAGAATTCCAGTCCAGATGTGAAGAGTTTAATTTCAGAGTTGAATAATTTTTCGAATATTTCCATTGTAAGCAATTACAATGTTGGAGTTGGAAGTGTTACAAAGGAACAATTGGACTCTGCTCAATCTATTTTGGATGAATTGTATAAGGTGAATGAGAATTTCAAGAATGATGAGGATTTTCTGAATTCATTCAATGAAAAATTACTGAAATTGTACGCTGTCATTCCAAGAAAGATGAAGAAAGTTCAGGATTATTTGATTAATGATAAGAGTAATAAGGATAGTGCTGCTTCACTATTAGATGATCAGCAGGAAATTCTTGATGTCATGGCTACTCAAGTCAAGATTACAAAACATGATCAATCTGATCAACCTGATTTCCTTAAAAAGAATGGACTTGTTGTGGAGGATGCTTCACAAGATGAAATTAAACTCCTCAAGAAGATGATGGGCTCAGATAGTCACTTGTTTTACAGAGCTTTCAGAGTTACCAATAATCAAACTCAAACACTATTCGACAATTTCGTCCAAAGGAAACGAAATCAAAAGAGAGAATTGTTCTGGCATGGCTCTAAAAATGCAAACTTTTTGTCCATCATGATCAATGGTCTTCAATTGAGACCTGCTGCTAATGGTAGAATGTTTGGACATGGTAATTATTTCGGTAAGTTTCTATTTCATTACTGACCTATTTCAATAACCAAAAAAGCCGACAAATTCAAGAAATCTCTCGGATATACCAGTTTCACAGGATCCTATTGGGCAGGAGGTTCTTCAGATAAGGCCTATCTTGCTGTATTTGATGTACATGTTGGCAAACAATTGGAAGTACTAATGGAT